GACCAAAAGGCTTTGGGTATGCACAAACAAATCATAGGGCAACAAACGAACCGCAAGGCATTCAACGACAGTCTTCAGCTCTGGATCACTCTCACGCATAGCCTCAAATCCGACGGCCAGCTCGCCCATGCTCCTGCACCAACGGAGAAAGGATGAGGGCGACACATTTTCATATGCATCACACTGGTGCAAAAGGTTTGGAGGCTGGATGCTAGAAGATGGTGGTGAGGAGCAAGGCCCATGACGCACTGCATGGCATTGGCTGTGGCCAGGCTGTAGTCTTGCAAAGCAGCCGAAACGCCCTTCATCTACACCAGCGATCAATGAGCGGGTGAGCATCGGTGTAAAGACGAGTCGAACGTGCAGGTGCAAAACGTGCCTTGGTGCCAAGGTCTTCGACGTAATCTTCCATAGCCAAGAATCGAGCTGGGATCTCACGGGTCACCGACTAAAGGCCAGAAGCATGCAGGGTGAAATTGCGAAGGCTAACAACCCCCTCCCTCCTAAAAAAAACAAAAACAAAAGCAAAAACAAAACAAAAGCAAACACAACAAAAACCACAGAGCGGTTCATGATCACCTACCCTAGAGACCATTGAATTGATGGATTCGCGGAGTTTGTCCATGCCGCGACGTTCCTTTTCCTTCTGAAACGTCATAAGCTCATGTGAACGCAGGGTCAAGAAGGCCCTGGACGCATGCGTGCACGACACATATTCATGGTGAGCAATAAAAACAAAAAGCAGGCTCACGAGGTCGTTTTGCATGGACGTACACAACGCTATCGTCTTGACTTAACACAGGATGACCAACGACGCGCATCAAGAAGCTAAGCAATCATGCATGCACGTGCAAAAAAAGGAAAAACAAAAGCGGTGAGTGGCAGGAATTGGCCGTGTGCAGGTAAAGGGCGAATGCAACTGGGCTTGGCTAGCGCAAGAGTTGGTATGAAATAATGACCGTACCGCTCCAGGCCATGGCGGCGAGTTTCCAAGAACGCGGGGTCAAACTTGTTCAAGGTGGTGTTGTGTTTGGGCGGTAGAGGCTAGGGATAGAGGTGAGACAAAGGAACTGAGTTGTGCTGTGATGATGAGAGGTGAGTGATGAACACATACTGGGATGATGTAGCCTCGTTGTTGGAAGCACATTTGTTCGCGCAACCACTGCACTCGGGTGATATTTGAGAAAAAAGAAAAGCCATGGCCAGATGGGCGGGTCGAGGTACAATGCAGTGAGAAGACATGGCCCATGTGTGAAGCAAGAGCAAGGTCAAGCGCGTCAGTACAGGCATGGTACGCATTCACAAACCACAAAGTGATTGTAGCGTCGATGAACGTCAAAGGCTGAGCCAGGAAAATGTGTCCGTGAGGTCTATCGGAGCACAAGAGTCAAGTGAGACAGATGCGGGGTACGATATAAAGTTTCGGGGTGGCTGTGATGAATACCTTGGTCGTCACGGTGTAGACCACGTGTCCATCTGTAAAGGATTGAGCAGGCACAGGGAAGGGGTTCTCATTTGAGGTGCACGTAGACAGAGGAAGCGGGCAGGGTGTTGGGCAATGAGGCTGCAGGGAATGAGACAAACCATGTTTGAGAGGCGTGTGTACGGAGATTTCAATGTCTTCAGCTTCGATGGCAGGGGTTGGCATTGGCTGGTGGGCCAGGCGCACGGCCGAGAGCGGGGCATGGGCATTGGCCTACATGCCAACCATCGATAGGTGAGTGGTTCAGCGCAGAAAAGCTCGGCCTAACCAATGGGTGCTTTGCCATGTGGAATTGATCACTGAGCAGCCTTGGGCCAGTTAAAAGCATGGTAATGGTGGCGGAGAGTGGGAATGGGAAGCGATCGCCCCGATCGACAGCGCAATCACAACAAGACACGCCATCGAAGGACTGGGGGTCAAGGGATGGGTCAGAGAGTAGAAAGCAAAACACGCAGCCGGCCACTCTCAAGCAAACGGTAGAAACAACATGACCGCGCTCAAAGTTGGCATCACACAGGCCCAGCGCACCAAACCCAGGCAGAAAGGTGGGGGGGAGGGAGTGTCCGGGTGGCAGGGAGTGAGGAGGGGGGCTCCAGAAACATACCTTCATGCTGTTATCGTCAGTCAATCCTGACACATCGTCTCTTTGCTCACTGTTCAGGCCGGGCAGTGCACGAGCATCGTGCGCACCATCACTGCTTCCCCTTTGACCCCGCCCGTCTTTCTGTTCCGAACGCACCGCGGCCGAGCCCGCCTGGGGACTGTCCGGCAAGCGCGTCGCCGCCGCCGCCACATCGTGATCGACCTCAGCCATCATCTCGACGATCTTGATCTCACTGCCTTCGTCAACTGTAATGCTTTTTGTCAGATTATTTAAAGAGATGGTGACTGTTTTCGTATACTGGCTGCTTGCGCTTTTTCTGCTACAATCCAAGCGACGGGTTGCCTTGCCTGCCTGACTTGGCCTTTGTCGTTGAGAACCTGCTGCAGAAAGACCCGAGCACGCACTCCCTCAAGGCCCAAGGGGTCTCAATGCCAAGGATGCCAACGGTGCCCCGGCAATGGTATCCTTTCAGGCCACCACGTGCGTTTTCGGATTCACATGGACTCTGCAGTTGGCACACGTGATTGATGATGCTTTCAAGGGCCACGGCCTATTTTTAGGAAGAGTGCAATCAACCAAGCGCGTCATGTGTGTGTGTAGTGGATGTGCATTTTTCGCTTTGGTACCGACTGGCGTAGCAGTGCCCTTCCCTCCCTCTTCCTCTTCCTCTCCCTCTCCCTTCCCCCTCTTCCCCCTCTTCTCTCTCTCTCTCTCTCTCTTGGGCCGTTGCTTGCGCTTCTCTTGTTTTTTTTTTTTTTTAACTTTTGATTCGGATCCTTCCGATCTGTTGATTCAAAGCAAACTCACTCGATGTCGCTCCCCCTTTGATCGAACGGATTGCGTGCCCTAGAGAACAACGCGACTCGATCAAGATGACCAGTGTCATGCGAACCGTCTTGCCCCTGCTGCTGCTGGTGGCTACCGCGCAGGCCTACTTTACCGCCAACATTTTTGTGGTCAACCTGCTCAACGACACTATGGAGTTTATGGACTGCGCCGTCTCGGTCAACGGCACCCTGCCAATCACGCCCGACTCGATCTTGCCACAAAAGGTGAGGGAGAAAGCTTGCCAACACAGTTATGCACACGATTGCGTTTTTATTGCGTGATGTTTTAGGCTCTGCTCTGCGCTGATGACGCGCGTGCTTGTAGGTGACGCGCTTCTATGTCAACACAACCGAGTCCCGTGAAGATGTGGCTGGCTACTGCTGGTGGCATGCCCCCCGTTACGGAATCTGCGATCCCCTCTTCCTGCCGGCTCCCGTCAGGTCCTGCCCCTACATCGGCTGGCAGCGCACCGTGATCGCGGGCCAGGAAGACATTGATTTCGAAGTAAAAACCCCTGGCTACATGGGCATTGGTGATTTGACCATCACCAAGCGCATCGGGCACTTGTCCAAGATCTACTGCTTTTGTGATCCCGACGTCTATCCCGACTGCCAGCAAGCCTGTGCTGACCTTTAAGGCGTGCCACGCTCTTGTCTCGCCCCCTTCGGCACTAAGCATTTATCAAGTACCCGAACGTGTTGTGATTGTGTCTTTGAATCCGCCCGCGCTCGAGATTATTGATAATCATGATGGCATACTTCTACATTTTCCCGTCAATTCCCGTCGGCTCTTCCAGAGTTGAACAGCAAAAACCATATCCCTCGAATATTGGTTGATTGACATGTACTTCTAAAAGGCATGTGTGTCAAAAAAAATGGGCGCAAGCAGATAGAACAGCAAGGCCCACTAAGTCGAAAAGACAAAACCCAAACATTTTGGCGTTGAACGAATGATGATCCAGCGTTCTTTTTGGCTCGCGTTTTTTCCTGGAATATGCTCAATGCTGTAGCCAAGAAAGATGGGGTCCCAGTACCTTTGCCACATAGAGCAAGCGCAAGAGAGCATCGCCTAATCGATGCCATCAATGGTTTGAATGCTCCAGATGATGAGCAGAAGGACTTGCTTCAGCAGCTCGTGGCCCGTTTGCACGATGGATGGTGCGACCTGTGGGGAGAAGGTCAAGACCAGGCCAAGTCCCAACCTTCCCTGGAGCAGGTTTTCGCAAATCCAGCCTGGCAGCTTTCTTGCCCTGGCCATGCGGTGCGCAAATGGATTTCTTGCGCCTTTGGGATCAAGATGGATGAAGTGCAACGCAAGTTTGGTCTTGGGATGCCCCCATTGCCATTCAGCCGTTGCTGTAGGTACGCGACGCAAGCCTCAGCATTCTGTTGCTTGTGCCCCGTCCATGAGGCGTGAAGCCATAAACTGGATCGGTACAGGTGGCAACAGAATAGCGCCCCAGCGACAGGTTTCACTGTGGGCTGGGTAATCCGCCCGGAGCATGGTCGCTCGACAGCCATGGCAAACAATCTCATAGCGTGGACATTGCCTAATATTGGGGGGTGGGGGGTGTCCACAGGCCAATGAGCCCTTCAAGGCGCACGTTCACGTCAAGGCTTCACTTACACCAGATGCTCTGAGACGCAATCAGCATTGACATCGAGCAAACAGCCTTGCGCCTGGAGCGGGCAGTCTCCGTGCTCTGGATTGCCTTGATGATGGCCTCGCAAGCAATCGCGCAGATAGTGTTGCCCAAACTGATTCAAGCCCATCACCACGACCGCGCGAACATTCAGAGTCAATCACACCGATGCGCCCACGAAAAACAAAGAAACGAAAAAAAAACCAAAAAACTCAGCGCTGGGCCGACCCTGCCCTTCCGTTTGTGGCATAACATCTGAGGCACGCGCATGAACTGGACCCACCTTTTTGCGCGCGATAGACCGATGACACACGTGACATTCCACCACGTTCAACGGACAGTTGAAAAGGTGTTGGCGCAGCCCTGCACGTTCCACAACGACAGAGCACCCTGCCGACGCTAGTAAGCAGCGTGCAGGTGCAGCTGGGCAAACCTAGAGCAGATGCCAAAGCCCAACATCAAATCCAGGCTCAAACCAGATCGCGGCACGTACACGCTGAAACGGTCTCCACAACGGCCCCAGACTGGCATGCGCATCAACATAGTACACCCGGAGCTCGGAAGCGCGCAAACACGTGGCGCACCTCGCAGTGATCGCGCAGAAGACAGGTGGTCATGGAGGTTTGACAGTAAGGACAGGCTTGCGAGGCGCAAACGCAGCCATGTCGCGGAATGCCGGGAATGAAAGCGTCTTCCATGCCCCCAGCAACTTCAGAGGCATGCATCAGAGCAACACAATGAACACCGAGCGGAACATGCTCCGCGTAAAGATCTTTATGCGCATGGTACGCCAGCGGCAGCGGCTCGCGCAGCTCCACTTCCACGCCTGCAGCCAGCAGGTCACGATGGGCACATAATTGACAGAGTGTCAACCCAAAGATGAGATTCTACGCCGCCACACGGGGAGGACAAGCGTGCCATGGGGTTGACAGCAACTATAAAAGTGCGTCGGCACACTAACCTCGCCGGCGCAGGGCACGAATGGATGGCTGCGACGAAGAGGCAGCGGGCAACCCGTGTAAGCGCACTCGCTCCAACGCAGGCAACTGCTCGAGGCACGCGAAGCCCAAGGAAGTGATGCCGTGCCAGCTAAGACAGGCCAAATGCAAGTGCAAAGTCAGTGGCAACGCGGGCCGGTTGATACATCACAAGGAGGCTGACGGATGCTACTCTGAAACATACTGGCTGAGATCCAAAACGCGTAGGTGCCGCAGTCCTTGCAGGATTTGCAGGGCCTCATCTCCGGCTTGAATGTCACAATTGGGTAGACCGAGCTCTTCTAGCAAAGGCAGCTCGGCCACAAGCGTCTCCTTCAGACCGTGTGGGGTAAATTGACCGCTGCTCTCGATCACCAAGCGGCGAAGATTGCGATGTCGTGCAAAGGTGTGCAGGGAGTTGTTAAAGAGAAGGGCGTCTCTGATAACCAGGCTTTTGAGGTCGGTCCCCTCGTCCAACATGGCGCTGATGAGGCTGTCGGAAAGAGCCGGCGTGCGCAAGTATTCAATCTCCAGCTCCTGCAGTGCTGTTAGGTTGCGCAGCATGCGAGCAAACGGCCGGCCTTCGGGCATGCGGTTGGTGGGTACCACGCGGATCATGGAGCAGCGCTTCAAGCGCAAAGTTTGAAGAGACACCAAGGTGGCCAGCGTTTCGTAGCGAATGTAGTCAGTCTTGACCAGTGTTAGTTCTCGCAAGTTGGGTAAGAGCCGGAATTGGTTCAAAACGTCGTCGTTGACATGAGAGACCTCCAGTCGATGGAGGCAGATGAAGGATCTGCAGAAAGGGGGTCGTCGTTTGGGCGCACAAGTCAGTGAACAGATGATCTCATGCTTGGTGAGGGAGAAAAAAGAAACGGACACGGACACGGACTCGGACACGGACACGGACACGGACACGGACACGGACACACGCACGTCCAGGGCCAATCGATGCGAAAAGCGTCGGTTAGGATGAGCGACTCCAGGCAAGTAGGCAACAAGAATCGGTCGTCATGAAAATTGGCTGCAACGCACAAAGAGCCCCAGGACGCAGACGGCGCAATGCTTTGGGTGAGTCGGATAGAGCAGGTGGAGGTGTGCCCTCGGCTCTAGCATCAAAGAACCACAATCTCGATGAAAGTAGCCCAACGTACGGGTTTTTCGGCTCATCTCCGTGTTGGCAAGCTCGAGGTGACGAAGGTGGGCCAGACTCAAAAGGGCATGGTGGCTGAAGTGGGAGAGGGTGATGTTATTGAGCTTCAGCTTTTCAAGGCGGGGAAGGTTGGTGAGTTGACTTAGACCCCCTTCACTCAGGGCCTGGCAGTTGGAGAGGTTGAGCTCGCGGAGATTCGGACCCAAGAGCTTCAATGCCAGCCGCAGTTCCTTGTTGCGCAGGACGCTCGCATCTTCGATGCCGGAAAAGTCGAGGCGGGTGCTCAGGATGTTACACACAACCGCGCGCCATTCTCGGCATACGCGAGCGCAGACGGTGAGCAGGGTGATGACGTCGAGCTGTCGAAAGATCTGGCGCAACACATCCTCGGGCAGCATCGGCGCAGCCGCATGATCATCCCGAACCATGACGCTGAGACGCGCCAGCCCACCAAAGGCTGTGGCGCTGGCTTATCCACCCCAAATCACCGCACCTTCCCCGTCACGCCTTGTACCATGCAAAACTCTGTCTCGATTTGGCTGCAGCTGATTGCGCCACAGAAAAGGAGAAGCAGGCACAGGCGCAGGCACAGGCGGAAGACACACCGAGCAGCACCTTCACTGACATCAAGCCGAGCAGCACCTTGGCAGTACCAGCAGCACACAACTCGCTTAACAAATACATGAGAGGGAGAGAGAGACCGCGAAACTGCTTCGACCAAAACAAGCAGCCATAAAAGTCTGACAAACACTTTTTTTTTGGATTCGTCTAAGAATAGATGGACGGCTCAAAGTGATCGAGACAGCCAATGACTGGGGAGGCTATGCCCCCCACACACATACATCCGGATACAGACTGGGATGAGGGAGGGAGAGCTCACGAGGGAGAGCTCAAGAGGGGGAGCTTAAGAGAGAGAGCTCTACAGAGCCTCAGAGAGAGAGAGCTTCACAGAGCTTCACAGAGCTTCACAGCGAGCTCTACAGAGCCTCAGAGAGAGAGAGAGAGAGAGCTTCACAGAGCTTCACAGAGCTTCACAGCGAGCTCTACAGAGCCTCAGAGAGAGAGAGAGAGAGCTTCACAGAGCTTCACAGAGCTTCACAGCGAGCTCTACAGAGAGAGAGAGAGAGCTTCACAGAGCTTCACAGAGCTTCACAGCGAGCTCTACAGAGAGAGAGAGAGAGCTTCACAGAGCTTCACAGAGCTTCACAGCGAGCTCTACAGAGCCTCAGAGAGAGAGAGAGAGAGAGAGAGAGCCTCAGAGAGAGCTTACATGTTAAGAGCTGAAGGGAGAGCGAAGACAAAAACTGCTTTTGAGAACAACAAATACGAAATAAAAGATGCAGACGGATATGGAGAAAGCGTAGAAAAATCACATCCTTAAGCTGTTTTCTATGGTATCCGGTGTCGAGAAATTGCAGTAGAATTTGGCAAAGACGACGCGTTTCCGCGGGGATCAACGGCGCGGAGACACACACGCCGAGCGGCAGTCGCTTCCTGCTGAACTCTTGGATGTGGAGGACGGTACATCATGTAAGTCCGCCTGCTTTTACTCTGCGATGCGAAATGGAGGTGCCAGCGGCACTGTGTTTGTGTGGATGTTGAGCTCATACGTGCGCGGGCTCACTTTGCTCGATCCTGAAGGTCGTTCTCCTTTCATCACGAGGTGCATCACGTCCAGCTGCTTGCCCCACGGCCAGTATGGCTCCGGCTCGACGTGTTGCCCTTTATCTTTGTGCACCTCATGTACATTGCCACCATCCTGCTTCCGGCACACGAGGCGGTCAGTGCAAGGCGCTCCAGCCATTTGTTTTTTTCCAATGGCGTTTCAGACTTGGTCAGGCTCACACGCACGCGGTTCTCGGCTGGGGCTCGGTTGCAGAGCGAATTCAAGCTGGCTTTGCTTGGCTTGCTGGGCCTGGTCGTGGCTCAGACTGTGACCTTTCTACTGGGTTTCTGGTATCCACAACTGGCATCGCGCCTGGCGTACATGCACCTCGCGCCCTCTGAGATGCACCAGGCGTCCCATGCCCTTGTTGAAGGAGATGGGCCCATGGGCCAGCAACGACTTTGGGCCATCGAGCCGCTGCACCGCCAGCCATCCTCTGATCAATGTACCCTGGCCTTTCGACGTCTGCGCTACGCTCTCAGTGTCAAGTGGGTTTATTCAAGGCACTCATCTGGGACCGAGTGCACCCACGCTTACTTTCCAACCCCAATTCAGCGCACCACCCTCCTTCGTTTCCATTGCCCTAACACTCGCTGCTTGCTCACCATTGCTCCTTGCCCCTGGTTGCTCTGTACAGTGACAAAAGTGTGCGCGCCGTTCGCGTGGCCCCCGACCTTAACCAACCCCTGGCTGAATTCTGGTCTGTTGACCGTTCCCATTTGTGGCTGCGCACGACAGGAAATACTGTGCAGGCTCAGGCCCTCGCGTCCTACACGCTCCTTTTTTAACTTTTTGACTGTAAATTTAATTGGATAGCAAAGCACGTGGGCTTGCGACCGAGCTGGTCGAGAAACTGCAGGAGCAGTATGGGTCCAATACCTTTGAGATTCCGATCCCCACCGTGCGCGAACTATTTATGGAGCAGATTGCGGCCCCTTTCTTCGTGTTTCAGACGCTCTGCATGCTCCTCTTTATGCTTGACGACTACTGGTACTTTAGCCTTTTTACCCTTGGCATGCTCCTGCTTGTTGAGCGCATGACCGTCATGCAGCGCCACGCCTGTCTGCGCGAACTTAACAACATGCGCCCCGAGCCCTTTGTGGTCGTCGCTTTTCGGTACGCCCCGGTGCTTGATTGCGCTCTGGCGTGCGAGTTGCGTTGGTAGCCAAGCCTCCTCCTCGAGTTCGTGGAGCCTCGTGCTGTACTGACATCTGGTTGCGCGCCACGTCTACCCTGAAGTGGGGGCAAATGGGTGTCCATCAAATCTGATCAGGTCGTGCCTGGTGACATCTTGTCCCTTGGTGCGTGGCATCTGTCGCTTCCACGTCGCTTCCACCCGTCTACCTCTGTCTGGGTGTGTGCGTGTGCGTGTCATGTTCAATTCCTTTTGCACGAGCATAGGCACCAGCGCTTTGCATGCGATTCCTGCCGATGGACTGCTGCTGGCGGGCACCTGCGTTGTCAACGAGGCCATGTTGACCGGTGAATCGGTGCCTCAATTCAAAGTGCGGCATGATTTGTTCCGAGCTGGCATTGTGCAACACGCAGCCTGCAGACACATAATGACATCGTTTTCGGGGGTTGGCCTCTGTTTGTGATGCTCACCAACCTTCACCCTGCTTAGGAGCCAGTCGCACCCACGATTGAACATGGCGAAACCCTGCTTCTAGAGGCACTTGAGCAGTTGAGCACATCCATCTTGTTCTCCGGTACTGAAATCATCCAAGTTCGTATGCCTTATCTGTGTTTCTGGACGTGGTGCAGCGCTTGACCTGCACAATGTACTCATTTTGGCATGCCGGTGTTGGCACATGTAGCACACCAACGCTCAACCACACGATGGATTGCCGGGGAGTAAGCATGGTGTCGTGGTGCTGGTCCTTCGAACTGGCTTTGACACAGCCCAGGGTGATTTGGTTCGCACCATTGTGGCTTCCCAAGAGGCCAGCGTGAACACTCGGGACAGCCTGGTTTTTGTCCTCTTCTTGCTGGTGTTTGCGCTCTCGGCCGCAGGATACACTTGGTGGAAAGGTACGACGCTTTGCTTTGCTTTTGGCGGAAGGGATGGAGAACCTGAAGGACGGCACAGTTATCAGCCACTCTCAGCAACACGTCTCAAGCAAGCAAGGAACGTGTCCAAGCCACCGATCGCATTCATAAGCCTGTCGTCTTCCCATGCCTGGGCCCGCAGGTCTACAAGAGGGCAAGGACAAGTACAAGCTCATTGTGGAGTGTCTTCTCATCATTACTTCGGGTGCGAGTCCTTGTGCTGCAATGGTAGCGTTGTACCGACCTTGTGCCTCATGTGCTCAGCCCGCTGCCTCACAATCATTATCACCTGTCCCTCGTTCTTGTACAGTGGTCCCACCAGAGCTGCCCATTCAGTTGACGCTCGCCATTATCAACTCCGTCAAGGAACTGCGAAACCTCATCTCTGTGACGCAGCCCTACCGCGTGCCACTTGCGGGCAAAATCGATGTGGTGTGCTTTGACAAAACTGGTACCATCACTCAAGAGAATCTCGACTTTGATGGTGTCGTGTTGGCCGATGGTATGACCTCCAACGCCATGTGCGACGCTTTTCGCCTGGACTTGCGCCATGAAGATTCTTTGTGTGCTTCGTCCTAACGCTTGGGGTCACATCTAGGATCGGTCCACGCGGCCGACGAGCTGGCCAAGCGTACCGACCCGCTGGCGTTTGCCCTTGCTGCCTGTCATAGCCTCGGTTTGTCTAGCCCTGCAACCTTGACGTGTTTAAATGGGTGAACTGCAACCCCAGACGTTGAAAACAGCTTTTGTTCACAATCGAAATTTCCTGGCGCAGTGGCTGTGCAGGGGGCGGTGACAGGTGACCCCATGGAGCAAGCCATCGTTCAAGGTGTAGGCTACACCGTTCGTTCCACGAATAAGGTTTCGAATGGCTCTGTTGCCATTGAACAACATCAGCGCTTTGCTTTTCGCAGCGAGAAGAAGCGTATGGGCGTTGGTACGACCGCACACATGTTCTTTCGTTAATGCCGCACGTCTCTTCGCTCTGCTTTCTCCTTTCACCACCAATGTCAACTTCTGGGCGACTTCTGCGCACCTGACCTCTTGGTTGTCAAACTGTCTGCACTGCTAGTGGCCAACGTCGCCATCAAGCGCCAGTCTGAGCAAGCCTACTTTTTTGTCAAGGGTGCACCGGAAGCCCTGGCTCCCTTTCTTCAAACTGTCCCGGCGGAATACACGGCTCTCTATGAGCGCCTTGCGCGCCAAGGCAAAAGGGTGCTTGCTTTGGCTGCTAAACCATTGCCCAATAAGTTGCTCAAGGTCAGGGCTCGTCTTGGCGGCAGGCAGCTTGCGCAATGGCAGGTTGGTTTTCCATCCAGCTTGTATCTCATCTCCGTCACTATGGTGGCGCACTCGGCAGCAACAAGCTCTAGACCAGGCTGATTTGGAGTCAGCGCTGGAGTTTCTCGGCTTTATTGTCTTGACCGGCAAGGTCAAACCTGACTCTCGTCGGGCTGTGGCTGATCTTCAGGCCTCCTCCCATCATGTTGTTATGATTACCGGTGTGGTGCCTGTCCCCCGTTTTGCCGAGAATTTCTGTCAACTAGCATAAGATGAAATCCTCTTCCTTATTCCGGTGCGGTGCTTCTTCCTCCCCCTCTTTTTTTTTTCTCTTTCTGCCATGGCGCAGGTGACAGTGCCTTGACAGCTGCGCATGTCGCCCTTGAGGTGGGCATTGTGACCGAAGCAGCCGCCATTTTGCAGGTGCAGGAGGAGGACAAACTGGTCTGGCAACTGCCCAATGGCTCGCTCATGTCTTATCCAGAGCTGCCGTCGCTGCCACTCTGTGTGACTGGGCGCGCGATCGAGCGCTTGGCTGGCGCTGAACTTGGTCCCCTCTTGCCCATGATCAAGGTCAGACATGCCTTGTGCTACACAGCCATGTCATCTAAAGGTGCTGAGGTGCTTAGTCTGAGGCATAACATGCCCCGGGCGCACGTGCTGCCATCTTATTAGGTTTTTGCGCGGACAACTCCCGAGCAAAAGGCGGACATCATCCGTCAGTACGAGGCTTTGAATCTAACCACATGCATGTGCGGGGACGGCACTAATGACGTGGCCGCGCTCAAAGCTGCCGACGTTGGCCTGGCGTTGCTTTCGGAAGCAACTGCCGAACACCTTGCGCGCTTTCAAAGAGCTGCCGCCGACCGTCGCCGGCCTCAACCTAGTTGGTCTCGCTGTGACTCTTGGCGTTTATCAAATACTCGATTCTGCTCGAGTCTGACGCCCTAATTGGTGGTGGTATCTGATCGCAGACACACGAGAAACAGATGTGCAGGCACAATTGCAAGACCAACTGACAGTGCGTGCATTGTACCTGTATACCAAAGGCACGCCTTTGGTCGACCTCAGCTCAAAAGCTCATGAGTGCTTGCAACCAACGGTTTGCGCAGAAGGACTTGGTTGTCCCCAAGCTGGGGGATGCGACCATTGCTGCACCGTTCACTTCGCGGCGATCGACGTGTGCTTCAGTGGTGGCGCTGATCAAGCAGGTGCGCGCGGTGCATGGCAGGATGAAATGTCGCGCATCGGACGGGTCCTCACTTCATTGTCCGACTTGGCTGGTCATTTTCGAAATAGGGACGAGCAACTTTGGTCTCCTCTGCACAGATGATGCAGATTCTTGCTCTCAACTGTCTCTTGAACGCCTACAGGTGGGACAACGCATTAAAAATTGGCTTGATGGGGCGAGCCGCGCAAGGCCAAGTCACTATTGCGTTGTCATTGCTTGCATTCTCACGCATCCGGCGTGTTTGCATGCCATACACAGCCTGAGTGTTTTGGCCATCGATGGTGTTAAGTTTAGCGATACTCAAGTCAGTGTGCAATGACCCCTTCTCGATTAAGGAGCAAACCCCCCCCTTTTCCAATTTGGTCCTCTTGTGGTTCTTGCTCAAGCTGTCCACCACATTGCCCGCTCTGCCATGAACTTGCGCTGTTTATGGGTGGCCATGATCACAATCATTTTTTAGATGACCAGCAACGGTTTGGCTGTAGCCATGTGTATGCTGTCGATTGCTAGCAGCAAACCCCTCAAAACCCTGAGTTCGACTCGACCCTACAGCACCCCAAACAACATGTACATGCTCTTTTCCGTGCTAGGACAGGTTGGATTGTCACGCCGATGTTCTTACTTTTGGCTGCGCTTGAGCGATCTAAAAAATGCTCAGCCAAGTGTTCAACTTTACAACCGGTAGATCTCCTTGCACGTGCTGCTGCTTCAGCATGTCTTGAACACAGCTGCACAGCACGGTTATGGTGCTCGAGATGCCTTGGCAGATGGCCCTGATTCAGTTTCCCATATGGGTAGTAGCACGGATGTTGAGGTTACTGAAGATGATTCAGAGGGCAATAATGATGAATTTGCTCCCAGCGTCGTCAACACCATTGTCTACCTTCTCTTGCTAGCCATGCAGGTCGGTCAAATCAAGAACAGGACTTGTGGGATTATGGCCACACAGCTTGCAAGATTGTTTGCCTTGGATTGCTCCCTGCACTATTTCGCCTCTGCTTCATGGGTTCATTTTATCTCATTTTATATTATTTGGGAACCTCGCGTGCAGGCCTCAACGGTGCTGGTTTGCTACAAGGGGGCGCCCTTTATGCAATCTTTGAAGAGCAAGCGCCCGCTGCTTTGCTTGTGCGTGCCTTGCCCTGTATCTATGAGAGACATTTCTTGTCCTCTCCAGCTCGGCCGCCTGGTCCTAGCTTTGCGCCCATTGCTCGTGATAGCATGACTAATTTTTTTTTTCTTTAATTAAAACCTGTTGCTTAGGTTGGGCGGCATGTTTGCTTTGGCTCTCTGTGGAGCTTTACAGGTGTGTTGAAAGTGCCCTAGTGTGTTTGCTTTGCACGCTCATGCCAATTGCCCCGCTTTGCCTGGCTTCTAGGTGAGCCCGGAGTTGAATGGGCTGCTGGAGCTCGCACCCATGCCAGCTGATCTGGCGCAGCTGACGGCCAGCGTGTTAATTCTGGATGTGGCGGGAGCGTTTTTGGTTGACCGTATGGCATCGATCGTATTTCCACTCCCAACAAAGCATGCTGTGTTTTGAGAGCAAGGTCAAGCAATTCAGTCCAAGAATTCAATTCACAATGAGCACAGCCATTTGGCTGACCGGTGTCATGCATCAGAAGGAAGAGCATGGCATGCTGATCTGAAGTATTAGTTCAATTAATTGGGTCTAATAAGGCAATAACAAAGTAGAGGGAGTCGAGCAGAGGCAGTGCGAGGCCTTTGAGGTGCCATTGGAACAAAGCGAGAGCAGCGGGAAAACCACCGGCGCTTGCGAATCAAGTCCCGGTGCTTCATAGGGAGGGGCTAACAAGTGAACCGCCGTCGACGGGGATAACTGTGCCAGTCATGTAGGCACCTGTGGGAGAGGTCAAGAGCAAACACAGGCCAGCCAAGTCGGAGGGTTTGCCTACGCGGCGGAGAGGTACCCGGTCGACTACTTCCGTCTCGAAGGAGGCCAAGACGGCGGCCGTCATTTTCGTGGGGAAGGGACCTGGGGCAATGGCATTGACGGTGATGTGTCGAGCAGCCAGCTGTGCTGCCAGTACGCGTGTTAGGTGGTGAATAGCAGCTTTGCTGGCCGAATAGGCATACGTGTCCATTAGACTAATGCCCAGGCCGTTGATGGAGCCAATGTTGATGACCGTGCTGGGTCGAGCCGCCGAGGCGTCGGCCTCTAGTGCGCCAAGCAATTTTTGCACCAGATGGAAGCATGCTCTGACGTTGAGGGCCAGGAGCTTATCAAAGGCCGCCGGAGGGTGTGTTTCTAGAGGCTCACCCCAAGTTGCTCCTACACAGGGCGGTCAGCGAGGCCATGCATGAGCACGGGCAGAACGGATCAAACTCCGCGTAGGTTCGGCTCGAGATTGAAAAGAATCCAGCGGTGCCATATTAAGAGATCTGAGCGTCAGGGCATACCGGCGTTGTTGATGAGGATGTGGCAGGTGCGCTCATGCTTTAAAAAGTCACTGGCCAGCTGCTCAACGCCCTCTGAGGTTCCAAGATCGGCGGGCAAGGCAATGACACGACCTGGGGACTTGATGCGGTGGCACTCGGCATTGATGGCCTCAGCGCACCGAGTGCAGGCTTCCGCCTTGCGAGACGAGATGTACACCTTGGCACCATTAACCGCCAAAGCCTCAGCCAACACGGCCCCAATCCCACGACTCCCGCCCGTCACCAACGCCACCCGCCCACACACATCAAACAGAGCATCCACCTGCAACGCCGCCATCATGACCACCACCACCACGACGATCCCGATGGCAAGGCGGCAAGACCGAGACTCTTCTCTCTCTCGCGATCTCGAACCTCTAAGTCTCTCTCAAATGAAAGTTCTCTCTCTAAAAATCTCTCACACACTCTCTGGAAAACTCCCTCTCTCTAAAACTCTCCCACACTTGCTCTCTAAAACTCTCTCTAAAACTCTCTCTCTAAAACTCTCTAAAACTCTCTCTCGCTGAAACTCTCTCTCCTCTAAAACTCTCTCAAATCATTCTCTCTCTGTCTCTGTCTCTCTGTCTCTGTCTCTGTCTCTGTCTCTCTCTCTCACTCTGTGTGTGTGTGTGTGTGTGTTTTCAATCGGCCACTGAGACGACGGGCGCACGTGTGGGGGCGACGGGAACAAGACCGGGAGAGCGTTAGTACAGGGCAACGAGAGGATGGCAGGCTTGTGGGTGAGGTCAGCTCTGAGGGTGGGCGGGGTGCTCACGCGGCCTTGGCCCGTGCCTTCGCTGGCACTCGGCGCAACGGCGGCACGACCCGCCGCAATGTGCGCGGCGACGCATGCACCTCGTGTGGCAATTGGTACACGGGCATTGAGCACGAGCCGCATTGCGTGCGCTGGTCGTGGTACCTGGGGTCAGATGCGCACCGCCGCTTCAAACATGGTTCAGCGTGTGCGCACCGGTACCTATGTGCTGGTGGGCGCGGGCGTCCTTGGCGGCATGGGCTACATGGCCTATCGGATCAGCATCTTCATGTCCTCGCTCAGCTTCCAGGACGTAACTAGCTTTGGGTTTTACTTGGGCGGCGTGGCGTCCTCACTCATTGTCCTTGCAGTGGCGGCAGCAGCACGGTGCGTTGTCATTCCCGCACTCGCGCCCGTCCGCCTTTTTTATTTTTAATTTTTTTTTTCTTATTGCTCTGGGTAACTCTTCGTGTCAGCTCACGAGATATCAACTTTTCATCACACTAGGCGCTTCCGAGGTTTGCACCCTGATCGCGTGTTTCAAGAGTCTTTGCGCCAAATATCTCGCTCCCCGGCCTGCAAGCAAGCCCTGGGTCATAACATCCAGCCAGGCAAGTTCAAGGCATATAGCCCCGAGGGAGGGCTCATTTTCAAGGCGAACACCGTCCCGCCCAAGATGGTCTATGAACCCTGTACGTTTGGAATGGGCTTGCTTCATTAGTCTAACCAGTTTACCGGAGCCATGCAGTTACAGCTGAAGCGTTACCACCCCTTCACATGCCATCCTCGCGCGCATAGATGGACTGCAGTTGATGTACCAAGTTGGAGGCGATCGTCTGCAAGGCATTTGCAGCGTGCACGCCACTTCAACTGGTGCAGGTTTGTTGTGCTCGTGCCGAGACCGTGCATTGAGTCGACCGTTCTGTTGCCTGGACCCTCCTCACGTTGCACTGCATGCTCGATGCCCAGGTTCCTTCAAGCTCAAGTCTCTGGCTGTCGATATGATGGACGGCCAAAGGTGAGTTTTCGTGACTGTACGCCCTCTTAGCCCTGTTGCCTCGGTTCAGAGCCGGTCTCACGGTGCATGTGGTGCATGCATGTGCACGTGGGAACGTCGCTGCAGATATGTCCTTGCGGGTCACCCGGACGACGTCGTCTTCAAGGGCGTCATCAAGTTGCGCTAATCACGTCGCTCTTTGTGGACGGAACAGAGCGTCGCTGCCGAATTGAGAAAGGCTATGCTGCTTGAGCTACGCTTCGTCTTGACAATGCCACACCTATTCAGACTCCGTCTCCATCCTTCTCCGACGAGTCTGTAACCAGAGCCATGGCCAAGGGCACGTCCCCTGCCCGAAACCCGACGCCAAGAGAGCAAAGCATGCCTAAAGTTGTCAAACTCCTCTTATTTAAACCTTTCTGGTTCAGTTACGTTTGTGACCTTTGTGTGTGTGTGTGTGTGTGTGTGTGTGTGTGTGTGTGTGTGTGTGTGTGTGTGTGTGTGTGTGTGTGTGTGTGTGTGTGATTTCTTTTGTTTGTCTTTGATTTTTTTTCCAATCCGTTGTGTGTGTGTCGATGCGATCGTTGGCAGCACTGGAGGGGAAGCAGCAGCATCAGCAGCAGCAGCAGCAGCAGCAGCAGCAGCAGCAGCAGCAGCAGCAGGACGCGATTCACGGCGTTGGTGGCTGTGGCAGTGCCGTAGACGAGCTGGGTGGGACTGGGAGATCATCAACACCAAGAACCGTTGGGGCATTTGAAATCGCCATCTCAGGAAGCGTGCACAGCAGCACGACGATGGCTGCGCATCACTCAGAGCTCAGCCAAGCCCTGCTGGAGACTATTCCGGGCACCAACAAGACCGTCAACAGTCTTCTTGTACGTCCTCGTACCTCTGCCCGAGTCCCTGACCCTGAATTTGCTCACCCTGTAGCCGTGCACCGGCTTGACACGTGTAGGGCAAGCCCAAAGTCTACTTTTCTTCGCGGGAAGGTCGCTGTCAAGAGCCACTGGGCTCCAACATCAGCGTGCCCGCGACGCCTTTCGTAGTGCAAGAGCGGCGGCAGACGAGTCATGACTGGCCGTATCGTTCCCCATCCGCAGCTGCCCAGAAAACTGGGGTAAGCCGCCATGCCATATCACTGCCATTGTCAAGATAGCATGATTTACTTTTGTTCAGGTTGCGCTCACATCGAGACTGTTCAATGAAAGCCGTACTACCCAGACACAGCCCAAGGCTCACCGCCTAGCCCACCCCGGACAAGCAGCTGCGCTTCATCTAGCAATAGCGTCACATCTGATAGCTCACAAAGCTCCCATGATGATCCCACTGACGAGTTCGAGCAACTGACAGTTGAGCCCTCCCAAGCTTTACAGGATGATGCCGCTGACGACTTGGAGCCGAAACTCGATCTCACGGGTACGGCCGCTCCCTCGGCGGCGCAAAAATAAATAGTGGAGCAGTGGCTTGTTATCAGCGGTTCTCACTCCTTGACCGCGCACGACAGAGTCTTTTCCGAGCCCATGCACGACGCCATCCACTCGTAACTGCATCAGCCGCTCTTCACTCGCCGAAACGGTCATCGACTTTATGCTGCTGGACCCCATGCACACCCTCAAATGGTCTGGCAAGGTATGCACGCTGCCGGCGCGTGTCCGTGCTGCCTGGCCTTGCAATTGAGCCGGGTTTTAACGAGGCCGAATGTTTCTACCAATAGTCGACTACCCCGCGCCGCTTTTGCGCCCGCTTGTGCCGAGCAGAGAAGCTGTTCTTGGCCGGCCAGCGCGAGGCAGCTCAGGCCCTGGCTGCCGAAGTGAGCGAATATTTTTTGATGCAACACAGCATGTGGGCTCGGATGGGCTCTAGCCATGTCTTTTGCTCCGGCGATTATGACTTTACCAGCATCATGCTCGGCTACATCCTCGTGCGCTATGGGTTGCCCTCTGAATCTTGCGAGGCCCTGTTGCCTCCAGACGTCGGGCGTCACATCTGCGAAAAGCTTTTGCCCAAGCCTGCCACAGAACCGCGCTTCCGCATTCCCAAGGTTTGCTTGCCCGCCCCATTTGCCACGCCATTCGCTGGCACAAAGCACCACAGTTCATGTCCTGCCTGCTCGGGCGCATTGCAGCTACCCACGCATAGCATTGACACGGAGAACCACATTCTGATGGTCAACGGCACCCACTTGTTGCATCACCTCTACAGAGCGCACACTGGCCAGCCGTGCCCCGACTACACGCCTCTTCTTGCAGGACTGCGGCACCACCTGCTTGAAGTCCGCGACTGTGGTTTGTGCCCATTCGGCAGTCATTGATCGGTCTAGCGCATGCACACATGCACACATGCGCACACATTCATTTTTGTTTACGCGTCTTGTTCCAATAAATGTGTTGACCATGACTCTATTCGCGTCGGCAGGCTTGTGGGAGTTCAACGCCCGGCCATATTCCGTGTTTTACTTTATGACCCTGTTGGCTTTGGAGGAAACGGCAGGCGGTGACATTGGTCAACTGGCACACGAGGTACCCAACAGCATCCTTTTCGCGCTTTCATCGTTGGTCTGTTGTGGCGTCTGAATCTTGGTGACTCTTCAAACTGATGCCTCGCTTGTGCTAGTGCTTGGACCAACTTACGTTTGCTTTTGCCTTGGGTGCCTCTCGACTTCGCCGGTTCGTACACATCCCATCTCAAGTTGTGCCAGCAACCGAGGGAATGTGCCTTTGCCACTTGCAATTCTCACAGGGTCTCATGCGGGCATGATCTTGTAGCTGCGACCCTTTTCGCCGAAGAACCGAGCGCGCTGGCAACCGCTCGTTGTTTGATCACCCCATATCCATGCTTATGCTTGTACGTGCTAACCGTCCTGGATGCCTGGCTGCATCATCTCTGCGTCTTGCGTCTCTGCTGGCTGGGTCCTGAGCAATCAATGCGTTGTGCTGGGCTGTTATGCATAGATTTGGCTCGAGCGCCACGGTATTGTGAACAAGGAACGCATTCTCAAATTGGTTGGCAGCAACTTCAGCGAAGAATATGCCATATATGCAGCCATTTTCCGATACACGCCGTCCTTTGAAGTGTGCCAGCTCGCATGGCAGCTCAGCGAAGCTTGGTCGGCCTCCGCCCAGCCGGAAAGCCAAAGCCCCTCTTACTTTGCACGCCTGGGCCATGGACCCCACTCTTGTCCTGAGATTTATTCACGCACCACTGGTCAGTTTTCAAGAGCTGTGATTTCACTGTTCTGTCCACAGGGGACAAAGCCTGTTAACACTAATACCATGCGCTACATCGGCCTGGTTCCCACACACAGAGTGGCTGCTCTCGGCAGGCGGCAGCTGTGTACACAAGCACATTGTAACTCAGCCAATCGCTCTGTTGCTGGAGTGTGGTCGGCAAACGAGCAAACTGCATTGTCTGCAAATCAGCAACGATTTTGGTAAGAGCATGCCAGTGCCCGTACTTGTGATGCATGAGCGCATTCTCACGATACCCTGCCATTGGATCGCCTGCAGAACCCTACACGGAATGGAACCATACGGGTGTCGTCTTCAACGTGGCGTTGGCACGGGGGTTGGCTCAAGTGCCAGCCTCCTATTCCACGCTGATGCATCTCAGCCCGTGGCGCGCGGTGTGGCACAAACGAGCGCCCAATACAGTTGTTTTCATTTATGACGAACATTTGCCCGACAGTGCGAGTTTCGCAATTTTGATCGTGCTGCAAAGGCTGCAGCCGTTTCAAGATGCGACAGAGACTCAGGAGTTTGCCAGGGCACACTGCGAACGGCTTTGTCGGGATAACCCGTCCTTGGGTCTTGCCGGTCGACTGTTCGTGAGCAACCCCCCAGACTGTGCTTTTGCTGGTTTGGAGACGATTGATTATGACCTCAAGGTGCAGTCAAGCTGTTTGTGGTCACTTGTTAATTCTCGTTCTTGTTCAATGTTCTTGCGACTGTACTGTGCCTTGCTAACATGGCGCTCTTCGTTTTTAGGTTGACAAAAGTCAATGGCCAATCCTCCAGGTCAATGAGCAAAGACAATGCCAGGGTTTTGATGAGTGGCCACTGTACGACGTGGAGGGTTGGACCGTGCCTTCAATTCCCCCGAGTGTGTCTGCATTTGGTTGCACCATTGCTGAACCCAGCTAAAGACTTTTTTTGTTGTTACCCTGCATGGTTGTTTTATTCCCTGCGTCAGCCTCGCGAGTGAGCATATTCGAAACCAGATTGCGAAAAATTGAGTGTCGCAGCTGGCTACGCATTATTTTTGCCAGATCATTGTATGGTTTCATTCGAATGAGATGTGAAGCATAGCATGAGCGGCCACCATGAACATTGAATCCAGCTGCTGTGAGCACAGAGGAATGGGTTCAGATTTCAAAAGTAGAATTGTTCTTGATGGCACCCGCCCTGCTCAAGAGCACGCACGTGAGAGGTAGGTCTTGGGCTTGGGTATTGGTGCAGAATTGTTTGGAGAGAAAAAAAAAAAAAAGAAGAAGAAGAAAAACGAGGAAAGACGCCGATCTGTGGGTCGCGAAAAACCCCTAATACTTGACCTTGTCACAAGAAGAACAAGAAACGAAAAAAACAAGCCCTAATGCTTGGCCGTATCAAGCAAGGCCACGGCAACATTGCTCAGGTGTGCGTTGACAAGCTTGAGGCTCTGCGCCACAGCCAGGTGCTGACGTGCGTCCTGCAGCCAGTCGTAAGCCATCTGCTTGGCCAAGCCGGTCAGTTGGTTCATTTCTCGTGCCGCCTAAGAGAAAAGACCAAATCAAACAAATTGAGCTGACACCAAGAACCATTGCCATGCGAGGGTTCGAACGAACAAAACAGGAGAATGACGCAACAAGAATGGTGCGACAAGAATGGATTCAAAGAAGTAGAATTGCCCAAAACGGCAGCAAAGCCGTCGGGACTTTCTTTGACTGACCTGGTCCAGATCATCGGATTCAAGATAGTATTGGGCACGGGCCAAGATGGAGTTGACGTCTTGTCCCGCAACCTAATTGGTTATGGGGCAACATGGCAGAGGACACGCGTGACCACAAGAAGCGAAGGATGATCTCGTGTGTATCCGAAAGGAAGAAAAAAAAGAAGAAAAAACCAATGTATGTTAACATACCAGTCCTCGTGTTTCGAACGTCAGGGCACTGATGACGTGACTAGCCACAATGGACCAGAATCCGCCCTCTGGTGACACATAAGCCACCTTGCGGACAGCAGCCTTGACTTGATCAAAGTTGGCATAAATGTCGTGTGCCGAAGGCACGCCTCGCTGAAGAGCATCTCGGGGTAGGGAATGCACGACGGCAGCAATAAAGGTATCATCGCGGCCCAACGCCTTCAGATGTTGCAACTGCGAATGTAAGCGAGATGAGGGAAAAGAGATCAGATGACGGGTCAAAAAAAGTGCAAAGAAATAAAAAAACAACAACAATTTTTGGACACGTATCCCACCCACCTCCTGGATGAGAGAAGTGCGGTCACTGAAGGCAGTCTGCATTACGTCTGTGGCCAGCAGCACGGCCTGCATCTGATTGATGAGGCGCTCACGTTGACGGTACTCGAGCAGTACGCGCTCGGCTGCCTTGAGTTGAACAAACATCTCCTCAATGCGCTGAAGTCGGGCCGTGCGCTCCTGGCCAAGCTGAGTACGAAGACTGGCTTCGCTGGCGGCCCAAATGTCGGCTGCCTGCTGGTTCAATTGTCGGGCCAGGTCTTCCTTGTACGCGTCGGCCTGAACCTGTAGGTGTTGTTGAACCTCGAGCTGCTTCTCTCGGCGCAAGTTGGCCTCGCGTTCCTGCTGCTCAGCCACAAATTGTGCTTTGAGCTCTTGTGCAACACGCAGCAGATTTTGACGCTGCTGCTCTTGCTGCTCCTGAAGCTGGTTAGTGAAGGCATCTTCGTGACGCTTGGCCTGTTGCACCAAGAGGTCGTGCACATGCACGCGCGCATCGGTGTCTTGGCGTGCAAGAGCTGCCTCTAGCTCCTGAGCGTGGTTGTGAAGATAGGGTGAGAGAGCGTATGGCCGATGTACCTTTTTCGGGCGTTGTGAGATAGATTTCCGTGCCCAAACGCTACAAACATACCTGTACGCGGGCAAGGGCTTCTTCCAGCGTGTTAATGGGTGCAAGATTGGTAGTTGGCTCGGCATCGGCTTCGGCACGCGTTGCCTCAGCAACAGCTTCCGCCTCAAGATTCAGGGCTGGGCTCGCACCGGCTTCGAGAACCGAGTCCACAACCTGATCGAGAGCCACAGAGCTGCCGATGGGCCCAAGCGGCTCGACGACTTCATCGGCTGCTGCTTCGGCCACCGAAGAGTCTTGAGCCAGCGAGCTGGCATCACCTTCCGTCTCCTCGAGACCAGGCTCGCAGTGTGCAGCCCGTTCCGCCTCGACATCACGCTCCTCTTCGGCCTCGACAGGCAAAAAGGGGACGGAAATGGCAGGAAAGGCGGTGGCATCGGTAGCCTCGGGAGCCTCGCCGCCAGTAGCGTCCCCACGAGCCTCATCTTCCACAAGGTCAGCTGGGGCGGTCACAGACGAGCTGTTGGTGTGTTCCGCAGGCACTTCCGACAATTCAGGTACCTCGGGTGCCTCCGTTTGCGCTGGTACCACAGCCACCTCGGGTACCACAGGCACCTCATTGCTGGAAGCCGGGGTATTGTCGGGCATCTCCACGATGCGACGGCGCACGGGAGGGGGCAGGGGTGGGGCCACGACCGAATCTGGCGCGGTTTGAGCATCTGCATCGGCTAGGAAAGATAGCACTGCCTTGGAAGCCGGAACGGTGGCCTCAAGCTTCTCACGAAACTCATCGTTACGGGCAGCATAAGCCAGGCTGCCACCAGCAGCCGTGGTCGCGGCCAACAGGGTCAATCCAAAGGCACGGCCAAAACTAGTAGAGCACACAGAAACACACACACTGACATGAGCAGAGGCAAGAACGCAGTAGGCTACTATGCCAGGCATCCAAAAAGAAAAAAAAAAAAAAAAAAAAAAAAAAAACGGAAGAAGCGCTTCCTCCAGCGTTTTAAGCAACTGACCCGGCTTTGTTGCTCGGTGGAGGAACGGGGGGCGGTACCTGTCCTTGAACCTACGACCGACAACCGGCACGTGGGACGAGGACTGTGAGGACAGCAGGATTGGAAGAGGACGGCATGGGCAAGGGGCAAGGGCATGTACCGGGATCTTGGGCACTTCATTGACCGCAGGCTTGATGACATGGGGCGCCCCGGCTTTGGAAGCTTGTTCGACCTTGACAGTGGTTGCAGAAGGAGGCGCCGCAGCCGGTGTGGCCGTGGTTGTCGAGCTCACGGGCTTCGGGGGACCTTGAGAAGGCGGTGGCGGGGGGACGCCACCATGGCGCTTGATGGTCTTGGCACTCTGCTGGTCCTTGACACCACTTGTCCGTACGCTCTTGACGTAGTGTCGCTGCTGCGCCTACGACAGGATGATGCAGCAGTTTGAGGGGAAATTTTGAAAAAAAAAAAAATAAAAATTTGGAGCTTGTGGCCCTGCCGAAGTGCACCTGGAAGAGGAAAAAAAAAAAAAAAGTGCTTACCTGCAGCAGGCGACGGGCTGGGCGGCCGTACATGCTGATGCAAGTGGCAAAGGCGACCAAAATCCGAATGGGAGCTGCCCACCAGCACAATCTGCACACGAAGAGACGATACCATGTTCACAGGACAAGATGCAGAAAAGGTGTGAGCTGGGAACAGGAATAGCATGCTCGGCACCCGACCAAACCGAACCCGATGCCCACAGCCCACACCCCTCTCTTCACATAAACCAGGCACGCTACTGCCAACATGCCCCCCACCCCCCCCTTCTCCGCGCTGCCATATCACAAACCGCCAGATCAGTGCTCACCTCAGCTCACTCGGGGACTGCACCTGGAAAAAAGAGACTGACAGTCTCGGTGCAGACTCGAAACTTGATGAGAATGTCAGAAAATGCATGCAACATCGTCACTGCATTCGAGGTTTCATTTTGTCGAGTGGAGGAGATTCAGTCGCGGTGATGGAAATGGCAGCCGAAGATGAGGCTCCGCTGTTGGGAGAGCCCGCCGTGGGCGCTGAAGCTCAGGATGGCCGTGAAGGATCAAAAGATGGTTTTAATGGCTATTTGATCTTTTGCGTCTTTGTGGCCGTCTTTGGTGGTACCTTTCAATTTGGCTACAATACCGGTAAGGGCAGCGCCAGACACGCCCGCACTCTTCCCGTTCCTGAAGCTCGCCCTGACCTCGTGCATGAATAATGCGATGGTCGCATGGTCGCCAAAGGTGTCGTCAATTCTCCAGAGGACGTGATCCGACACGCCCTGGCTGACTGCGACTCAAGCAAGGTTGGTTCGACCTCCCGATTGAATCGCCCCCTTCCAGCACCCCGCTCATCTCATCTCCACTTGCACCATGTCTCTCCAGCGAGATTGCTCAGATGCTGCCCTGTCAGATGCCTTTTGGAGTGCAGTCGTAGCCATGTTTGCTGTGGGTGGCCTGTTTGGTGCCCTAGCTGCAGGTTCGTGGCCCTCTCAATCCAATCCCAAATCCCTACTCCTCGACGACCTACGGTGCGGTCATTCATGGCATGGATGTGCATTGCTGACATGGCCCAGGTGCGGTGGTCCAGCACTTGGGCATCCGCAAAACCTACTTGGTCAACAACCTGCTCCTAGTAGCAGCAGCCCTATTGATGGCCCTGGCACGCTCGGCCAGCGTCCTCATCATTGGCCGCCTTGTCGTGGGCATTGCTGGCGGTGTCACCACCGTCATCACACCCATGTACATTTCTGATATTAGCCCGCTTGGTCAGCCCTGTTCCCGTCCGACAGTGATGACTCAGCTCGTTTCCCAATACGAATATGATCACCAATTCCCCTGCGCCTTCGCTCCTCTCACATCGGCTGCTTCTCATGGACCAACTTGGGATGGGCAGCTGTGCGTGGCACATTGGGTGTGATGACCCAATTGGCCATCACGCTTGGGATTCTGATTGCCCAATGTCTGGGCTTGGGATCTGTTCTGGGCAATAGTGCTGGATGGCGGTATCTTTTGGCCCTGCCTATCGTGCCCGCCGTTCTACAGGTGCGCTTTGCTGCTGGTTAGGAAATACCGCAGGCCTTTGTTTTTTTTCCCTCAAACTGACGTGCTCCCACGGCCTGAAAACTTGTCACGTTGACTTGCAGACCATCTTGCTTTTCTGGACTCCAGAGAGCCCGGCGATCTCCGTGGCGCACAAGCAGATTGAACAAGCCACAGGTACTGACGCCTGGAGACGCTTCAATATTTTTTTTGTACGCTGACATCCCTCGCTTTGCGCGTAGGAACACTGCGCCGGCTGCGCCGACGCCAAGCGGTCGAGGACGAAATTGCCGTCTTGCAAGAAGAGGTCAATCGCAATGCTCAGGTATACCAGCAACATGACCAGTCGCCCTCGTGAGCGAATCGCATTTTTGTCAGGAGCCTGCCCGCCAACGTTCACCCTTGCTCACCTCGGGCCCGGTGGCTGTCGCATGCTGGTGTCGTTTGCTAACCGCTCGACCAGTCCATTTCCGTGATGCACCTTGTCCGGGATTCGAGCAATTGGCGGCTGCTTGCCATCGGCATCGGTCTGCAGGCCACGCAGCAGCTGACGGGCATCAACGCCATCTTCTACTTTTCGGCCGGTTTGTGGTTTGTTTCCTTGCGGGCCCCGGCCCGCTTTGGCGTTTCATGGCCCGTGGGCATCAATGACTCACCTGATGAGGGGTCCCACGTTTGCATCCTAGGCATCTTTGAGACGGCCGGCCTCTCCAACGGTGATTCAGCTACAATTGTGGTCGGAGCTGTGAACGTGGTGATGACCATTGTAGCATCTCAACTCATGGATCGACTGGGGCGGCGCGTTCTGCTGGGCTCCGGGCTCCTGGGCATGGTGATCGGCTTTGTGCTTTTGACCGGTAAGTTCTCTCGCCGGCTATGACCGCCATTCCTCCCCTCGCAGGGAAGACCTATCGCCCGTGATGTGGGTGCGCAACTCACAAGCTTCGATGCTGTGGCCGTTCGCGGTTGGTAGTTGCCTTGGCGGTCAAGGCATCTGTCTCTGCGCTGGCGCTCATCGGCGTGGCACTTGTTGTGGTGGCCTTTGCCCTCGGCCCCGGCGCCATTCCCTGGCTCATGGTATGCATGATGCTAGCATTTGTAATTGCTTCGTTGGCGTACACCATTTCCCACAGTATGGCTGCCTCTCGACCTCCCCCTCCTTAATGTATTACAGATTCCTGAATTATTTGCCAGTGACAAGGTCGCGGCTGCAGCCGCCATTTGCGTGGCCGCAAACTGGCTTTTCAACTTTATTGTGGGCATGACCTTCCAGCCTCTGCAGGTATGGCGTCTTCATAGACTTGCTGTGCATCTGGGTGTGAAGCTTGCTCATGAGCCTGCTTTGGCCAAATGCACCGCGGGCTACGCCAACTGCTTGACATGACATCTGCTGCCGCCTTGTCCGCATAGTCGGCCATGGGGGAATACGTCTTTCTCGTCTTCGTGGTGCTTGCTGCCCTTGGCGTCGGCTTTACCGCCACTGCTGTACCGGAGACCCGAGGTGTGTGTTTCACCCTGTCCGGACTTTGCAGTAGACGGCAGGACCTTGGGCGCCTCGCTCAATTGTATCCTTTTGCTTGTCCGGTCTAGGTAAAAAAGCTGCCTAAAGTCACACGGGACGGCAAGCGAGGAAGCTTGCCGCCTTTCTCTACTCTTGAATTCGACCGAGTTGCTAGCTGGCGCTTCTGGCCCTTGGGAATTGGGAACAAGCAGATCTTCATACAGTCACGTAGTGATTAAAGAGTCAATTCAGTGTATGCACAACCACCCACGAAAAGCCCATGGGGATCATGCGTCTTGGATGTTAGTCATTGGTTATGTTTTTGTTTTTCAACCAGGCAATCACCAGCCTCCGACCGGTCCGAGATGGAGAAAGCTGAAACAGCCCAAGTTTCGAGGGCATGAGTGAGGGAGGTTATTAACCAGCCAACATCTGGCCCTTCTTCTGGACCACGTTGGCAACCTTGTTGATGGCAAGAACCATGGCAGCGATGCGCAGGGACGTGCTCGTGCCAGAGCGCTCTGTCAGCTTCTGCTGCTGCTCAATGATCTGCGCGGTGGCAAAGCAAGGATGGATGACATCGTCAGTTTACAGAATTGAGACAGACCAAAAAGCTAACCTCCCGCAAGCCAACGTATGCAAACCCGCACCTGGTGGAAGCTGTTGATCATGGTGTCCTCCAGACCGGAGTGCGCCAAATCGCGCTCCGAAGCACCACGCACAATCGAGTCGCATTCGTCGTCGGTGAGCTCCATGCCCATGCGCTGCAGGGCTGACACAATGGCCCGGCCACGCTGCTCGTCGAAGCGGCGGTTGAGGCGACCAAAGCGCACGTTGGACAGGTTCTTCAGCCTAAACCATGATTGAACGTAAGCTAACACACGATGGACCCCTGGCCTTTTAAAGCGATGTACGTCGGCCCGCCTTGTACTCTGGTGTTCAGACACGTACCACTCAAAGTAGGACACGACGACACCGCCGGCGTTCAGGAACATGTCAGGAACCACGACAATACCGCGCTGGTGCAGGATACGGTCGGCACTGGGGGTGGTGGGGCCGTTGGCAGCTTCACCAACAATCCTGGCGTTGATCTATCATCACGTGCACAAAAGAGGCAGCCGGACAATTCAGTCGAGCGTGAGGAAACTCGGGAACAAAGGCAAACAGCCAATTCGCACAATGTCTTGATTAGCGATCGACTTGTGCTTGATTACTAACCTTACGAGCGTTGTCCTTGTGGATCTGCTGTTCAAGGGCCGCGGGGATGAGGATATCGCACTCAAGCTCGAGCACAGCGCGAGCATCACCGGTCACCGTTTCGGCGGCAGGGAAGCCCAAGATGGAGCCGTTGGCATCAAAGTACTCCTTGAGCTTGGGGATGTCAATGCCGTTCTCATTGTACACGTAGCCATCACGCTCACCAATGGCCAAGACCTTGCTCTTGCCGCGTTGCTGGAAGTACAGGGCCGTGTGGTAGCCGACTGAACATAGCCAAAGCAGATGTAGACATGGTCAGAAAGACGCGTTGGAGGAGCGGGCAAGCATCGCGACATTGGAGGAGCGGGCAAGCATCGCGTACGCACCGTTACCAAAGCCCTGGACAACAATGGTCTTGTCCTCGAGGCCAGGGGCCATGTTGAGCGATTCCATAATGGGTGTATGACGGCAAAGCTCACGGATACCGAAATAGACGCCAAGACCTGTGTGGCATCAACCAGCGCGAATCAAGGTGAGAAAGGAAAACAAATGTGGGGGAAGCGCATGGCAGCAACTGCCTCGTCAGGGCATGACAGCAACTGCCTCGTCAGGAGAGGGCAGGAAGTCGGCTTCTGTACCTGTGGCCTCAGTGCGGCCTTGGATGCCACCCATTTCCAATGGCTTGCCGGTGACGGCGCCTTGACCGCTGACATCTTCGGGCTTGAAGTTGCGGCTAGTACGTGGGTAGAAAAACAAAACAACACAGAAGGCATGAGTCAAACGTGGGCTTGAAACAAGCAACACGAATAGATGAAACGAAGGAGAACCAACGCACTAGGTATCAATGATCCAAGCCATCTCACGAGGGCCGGTGCCCATATCAGGGGCGGGGACGTCAATGCCGGGACCGATAAAGTTGCGCTTGACGAGCTCCATTGTGTAGCTACGAGTGATCTTCTCGAGCTGGTCGACGGTCCACTCACGGGGATTGATGACGATGCCACCCTTGCCGCCGCCAAAGGGCACATCGACAACGGCACACTTCCACGTCATGAGCGAGGCCAGGGCGCGGACCTCATCCTCGTTGACAAACTCAGAGTAGCGGATACCACCCTTCCTACACATACCAAGCAAATAAATGCAAGTGCCAAATGAGAGGGGTCATGATGAAAAGTCACATCGAGCACAAAGATAGGAAGGCGAAGCGGCAGCGCCGAGGGTTTAAAAAGGCCGGGCAGTACGCACGTAGGAACGCGGTGATGGGAGTGCTGGGCACGATAGGCCTGGATGTTGTAGAGCTTGTCGGGATTGTCCGTGTCCTCCACGGCAAACCTGTTTTAAGAGGGAAAAAAAAAAGGTGATTTAGAGGATGAAGCAAGGATGACGCAACCACGTGAGCATTGCAAAATGGCAGACATGACCGAAAAGACAAAAGGGGGGGTTAAAAGGTCATTGGCAGCGGGGGGCGCACTTCATGGAGAGGACGGTATCAACCTCCTTGAGCTCCTCCAAAAGACCTTCACTATGCTCAGTGAGAGCCGCTGCCTAACCGAAGCGCATGTGACAAAGCGAGTGTGAGGGTGGGCTGCCGTTGTCAACGCCATGCCATGTTGGTCCTTTCGCCGGACTTGGCAACGCAGAGGAGGAGCAGTTTTCAGTCGAGCGCGAGCAAGAGGGCAAAGAGCGTAAAAGAAGTTCTCACCTCATCAAAGTAGAGGCCGACCGACTCGTTGAAGGTGGGCTCACCGGCCACAAGGGAGTAGTGGCGAAGGAGGGTGGCAGCAGGCTGGGTGGCCTGCACAGCAGGACGGGCCCGCAGGGCAAGGCGCGCCAACATCATGTTGTGACGGTCTGTGTGGTGTCAGTTGTGCCTACGTCACCAACACAACCCATGAGAGCCAGAGAGGTACAAGCTCCCCTCCCCGTTGCCCATCGCCTGAACGGCAGCCCCCCGCCTTTCCGAGACAGAGACAGAGACACAGCGACAGCGACAGCGACTGGTCCATCCCAGTGTATAGGTGAGTCTTACCACTTGACCAAAGAGAAAATGATGTGTGTGAGTGTGTGTGTTGTGTGTGTGTTGTGTAGTGCTTTGGTTGTGTGTGTGTGTGTGTGTGTGTGTGTGTGTGTGTGTGTGTGTGTGTGTGTGTGTGTGTGTGTGTGTGTGTGTGTGTGTGTGTGTGTGTGTGTGTGTGTGTGTGTGTGTGTGTGTGTGTGTGTGTGTGTGTGTGTGTGTGTGTGTGTTG